ATGTATATGTATATATATGTATATATATATACATATATATACATATACATATATATACATATATATATATAGTCACCTGTACCTGTCACTTGTAGTCCTGTTGATCGTCGAGTGACTTGTATGGGCTCCAGTGAATCTTCCATTTTCCCTGTCACGTGCAAGAGTAGCCCAGTGGGTTCTGCTTGTTCTAGGTACTTATGGAGCATCTTATCTTTCTTCAAGGCTCCTCGTGAAGAACTCTGACCATCGGATCGGTGATCTTCTTGCAGTACGTTTGACATCCCGAGGAATCCAGTCACTAACGGCTCTTGTCCATCGCTTGTCATTTATACGCATTACGTGTCCGGCACACCTTCGACTGCTTCGCGTACAAAACGGCATCTTTGATTTTTGATCGTTGACGAAGGGCGGGGAGCGGAGCTTCGGATCCTATCTCTTACTTGTCTGAAACGGGATACTCCTAGCATCGTCCTGTCGACCGCGCGTTCGATAACGCTGAGTGACCTTTCATCCTGTTTACGCAGTGACCAGGTTTCTGACGCATACGTTAGGGTAGGAAGTACCGTTGAGTCGAAAAGGTGGGCATGGAGTCGGGTGTTCTTTGTCCTCTTTACTACATCCTCGATGCTTTTGAAAGCTCCCCAGGCCGCTCGCTTCCTTCTGCTCAGCTTTGCAGCTAGGTGGTTCATCATACTGATTTCCCGACCTAGATAGATATAACTGGAGCATTTGGAGATATTCGTTCCGTTAAGGGTGAATGGGGCATGCGAAACCAATCCGTTCTTTATGTAAATCGTTTATGTGAGATTTAGCCGAAGACCAATCTTTCCACAGGCTTTGTCAAAGCCGTCGAGCATACGTTCCGCTTGGCTAATGTTTGGTGTTATAAGGACGATGTCATCAGCAAAGCGAAGATGGTGCAACTGCTGATCGTCGATTTTCACTCCCATATTACCCCATTCCAGTGTTTGCATGATGTTCTGGAGGGTGGCGGTAAATAATTTTGGCGAGGTGGTATCGCCTTGCCTAATCCCTCCTCTGACCTCGATGCTGATATCATTGTAGAGTGGTGATATCTTGGCTGTAAAATTTTTGTACAGCTCACGAAGAATCTTTATGTATTGAGTAGGGACTCTTTGACTATCAAGGGCTTCCAAGACCGCTTCTATCTCAAGTGAATCAAAGGCCTTCTGTAAATCGATGAAAGTGAGACAGAGCGGTCTTTTGTACTCTCGCGGCACTTCAATGAGTCCTGTTATCGTGTAGATGTGGTCCATCGTACTAAATCCTCTTCGAAACCCTGCTTGCTCACATGGCTATCCCTCGTCTAGTGGTCTGTCAATTCTGTTTAGGATGACTCGAATGAAAAGTTTGTAGACGACAGACAGTAAGCAGATTGGGCGATAGTTGCCGATATTGCGTATGTCACCCTTCTTGAACAATAACACGGTCTTGCTGGTCTTCCACAGAGTAGGGACCTTGCATTCAGACAGGTGACGTGTGAAGAGCCAAGCCAGTGTGTTTACGAGGACTGGCGGAAGGTTCTTCAGGTCTTCTGGTCTTATCCTGTCCGCACCTGGTGCTGTTCGATTTTTCACCGACGGAATGGCATGTCGGATTTCGAAAGGGAAAACCGGTGGCTCAACATATCCATCCTCCTTTATTTCATATGACGGAAGGTGGACGTGGCGGCTAGTATAGTATAGTATATATATATATATATATATATATATATATGGAGGTGATAACTTTTTCATATATATATATATATATATATATATATATATATATATATATATATATATGGAGGTGATAACTTTTTCATATATATATATATATGTGTATATATATATATATATATATATATATATATGGGNCCCATATATATATATATATATATATATATATATAAGAGCGTCGTTTAAAAAAGTTAAAACCTACTTATTAATAGCTACTTCGCCAAATACACGTAAATCACGACCGTTTCGCTGAGTGAGAACATTTAAAAGCGTTGACTTTCCAGCGCCGCTAAAATACTTTAAATCGGAAAAAAGAAAAGGATTTGTTTTGTGAAAGGAACTCTTCCTGTCAAAGTCGAAAAATTACGATATTACCTGGCTCCCATTATAAACGTCATTTGTCCACCCTCCGCGTACCCAGAGACTAAAACATTTTCAATTTATAAGATGAAGAATATGGCAATTGATTACGGTATCGTATTAGCTACATTGTTTCAATAAACGTCGAAACATCAACCGGGTTTCTGTTGCTTGAACAAAAGCCGCCGAAGAAACGGTTGATATGATCAAATCCAGAAAATTCCCTGTAAGAGTCACCATCAACCGTGTGAACCGGGGGAGACTCGTTCTCTTCACCGTGGAAAAGTATCCGATTTTTGATTGTATTGTAATTACGTGGCAAAAACTGGATTCTGTACGGTGACCGACACCGTTGTGCATAAGATTAGAAAGAAGATTTCCTCAAAAAATCGAAAAATGGAACCATCACAAATTGCAACATGAGTGACCGGTATTACATAAAATGCCGAAACGGCAACGTCTGACCACCACAGCAGACACCACAAACAAGAATACTAAGCTTTGTTTCACCAAGCGTATTCATTGGATTTCTGGCTAACTGCTACCGTGTTTTCAAGCACCTCGATAACTACTTATCGAAGTCGTTTCTAGGAATTCGCTTAGAACTCACCACGAGCTAACATGTGTGCATTTCGAAAAAAACGGCAGAGGTTAAAAACGGCATTTATTTTATGGAAAACCTAGTAAACAAACAGATAAAGACAGTCTATTTCTCAAAATAAAAGGTGGAGTCCGCTGGAACTGACGTTCGGGTGCTTTCGTTGCCGAAGTTGATATTGAGGGTTGGAGTGTTATCGTCTGTGAGAAGTTACTGTGATCTATTTGCCGAAATACGGAGCACGTTTACGGGTTGGAGCCACCCTGTAATACACCCTGGATCGATCGTTGGTTCGATTTCGTATCCAGGGCTCACAAAGCCACCCGGGTGCGCAAATCTGTACCAAAGTTGTTTGAGAGGATAGCAACACTGAGTTCATATATCGTTAAGTTATAACAAAGTATTGTAAAGACCAGAATGTATTCAACCACTGCTACTATGCTTAAGGGGAATTTGTGACGTCTCTCTCGAGAATTGATGAACGTAGAACACTTCATCGTTTATCTAGTGACCGCACAAGAGCACCTAACGATTTAAAAATAAGGTAAGCCTCATTTAGTGAAGTGACCTTGCCTAAATATCTGTTAGATCATTGCACGACGGAATTTTAAACGATCTTCCATGTGTTCCAAAAAAACGAGAAATTTCACTAATACAATTTGATATTCGTGGAAATCAAACCTCACTTTTCTTTTCTAATCCATGCCTTCACACGAATGGGTATACAACATGTTAGACTTTTCATCTTCAGTTGTTTGCGAGTGTAGTAATAAAGCAGATAAACTAACCATGTGAGAGTACTATTAGGCAACGTATCTTTTATAGGAGTCGTAGGTAAGAGCAGACATGATGGTCGAACCGACCTTTATGGTGGTCACACTTTCTCGGTGGATTATTTGGACAAGCAGTAGTTCCTTACTAGCATTCTTTTATCAATCGGTTATTCAGCACAGTTGTTGTAGCAGTTGTCGTCCTTGGAAAATATTCTCCACTCTTAATTCCAGAAAGCTTTCTCGAATGAGTTCAATGTAGTTTGACAGGTAATGGAATGTTATTTCATTTTGGGCGTCGTCACTTAGGGGTTAGTGCAATAAGTTTTCTGAGTCCTTCTGAGCAAGTTGTTTGGTTTCTGATAAATTAGATTCTATGAATGATACCAGAGATGATTTCTCCTCAGGTGAGGTTTCTATAACTATCATGGCTGATGTACTATTGTGCCAATAAACTACCTTGATTCAAAATCACTTTTGATCCGACACTTGAGCGTTTTCCGAAACCCAAACAGCACTTCCGTGGAAGTGTTTCGACATAAATATCTCGCCAAAGTAGTCGGTTTCCTTCCTAAATATTCAGTGTGGCAGAAATCTGGATGTCAAGTAGTTTCTCTGTGCTCACGAGTTGGTAATGGTACCTTTCCTCTTCTATCAACGCTTCTTAACGTTCTTGAAAGATCTCCTGGTGGTGTTTTATGCTATAAAATGGAATTATAAATACTAGGTCGTTACAATACCTAAAAAGAATAAGAAGAAATAAAGGTGTAATATTTCAACTCACTAATGAAGAACTTGATTCACTTGTACTCACTATATCTTGAGCGACATCGACAAGCTGGAGAGTATCGTCGCTGTCTGAATTAATCGAGAACGGTCGATTAATGCACTTTTTTCGTAAAGTTGGTACAGTAAAATTATACGGTATAGGATTTGTTAAACCAAAGCCTGAAGTTTATTTGATGCCAACATAAGCCGAAAACTAACAAGTCGATGCTGCTGTCTGAGAAACCACGTCGTGGTCAAGGCCGGGCATAACTGAACTGTACTCGTAGCGAATGCTCATTGTGTATCAAGTGGCTATTTGCTGTTATCCGTCATTTTTGCTGCGCTTTCAACCAGCTATCATTTTTGTTACCTGTAATTAATTCCTCATCGTAATGTTCATAGAACGGAAACGGATAGAACGGTGGTAATGGTAGAGTTTAACACAAGCAATGCTCACATGTCAACCCCGCTCTAATCTAACCAAGCCTTCTGGTGTGGACGAATTGCAACCAGCCTTGTCTGGGATGAACTCGCTCCCTCTAATTCACAAAAGATGACTGCTATGGGGACCCCATAACTCGGCTATCCCAGGATTCCAAGAACGATCGACTCCATCAATACTCGATTACATTTATAAAGATCATAGAGAAAACAAAGTCCTCAAGCAGTAGCCGAATCCAAATGCGAAGACCTGGATGATGGATGCGAGAAAAGGAATCGAATGAAAGAAGTGCCGGAATCGTCATAACTTGTGGTCTCAAATAGTAAAAATGGAACAATAAAACAACATGAAACAAAATAAATGTATTTCTACCTTCTCCGACTATTAAGCAGACACGAGGCTGATAAAAGGAACTATCCGGCTAACGTTTCAACGTCTTTATCTTCTTCAGCGCCGGATTGATTCGAGTCGATGGTTCACAGATGGTCTTTATTACAGCAAGTCGAATCCAATGAGGTGAGATGGAGTACCGATCGAACGAAGAACCTGACGCGCCGGTGCCTTCTTACACAGGACTGATGTTGATTTATGTTGTTGATAATATTAGCTAACACATGAAGAACCAATATTTTTCAAAACACCTTTCCTTAAACCTCGGAAAAAGTAATCAATATCTCCCTTTTATTTTTTATCACTATCGTGCCGGCCTAATAATCGAAGAAGGTATTAATTAATTTTGTCGAGGTTTAATGGAGGTTGGTTTGAAAAATATACTTATACATGCCACAATGCGTTGTAAGTGCCTAGTGATGGTAAAAGTGTTGTTCCTGGATTCCACAGAGCGCTATCTCATCAGATGCTGATTATCGCAGATATAATTATTCAAATCATCTTAGAATAGGCCAACAGCAGCAACCACGTACAACATGAGTGCTGTTGCCCAAACAAAGACATGGCCATTTGCCACTGCTACGGTAGAACTAATAGCCCTACCAGTTGTTCATAACATCATGTTACGTAAAAACTTTACCTCAATTGGCTAGTAAACTCGTTCTCTCCAATATCGTCTAAAGACACCAGTTTCATTAATTGTCACAGCAATCTGTTAAGTTGATGAGACGGACTAGATGTGTTTAAATACTATTGTTCTTCAATGCTTTTATTCATCGCCTCGGTAACGCGAGTATCTGTATCAACCACAGCTTGGAAAAGTTCCTGGTAGTCGTCAGGCCTAAGCCTGTCAGTGGAATGTTAAGTGACTTAACAACTGTTGACAAGAACACTTAATCACCTCTAAATGGCACAGAAAAAAAATTATTAAAGGAAGTTTAAAAGAGAACCAATCTGAAGAGCAACCATCAAGATGTTCACGAATATAATGCTCTTCTATCAGCTCTGCTGAACGAGCATAGCATTTGCACAACATCGAGTTAAAAAAAAAATAAAAGGATAAAGCTTTCGATGTTGATCAATCCCTGAAGGACGCGCCATCCATTCGACTTCATTAAGCATCGTTTGGAGGTGTTCGAATGCATATCTCGCCTTTACAATGACTCGCGGTGGCCTACTGATTTATCTGCCCAGTGCTGCTATCCTTCTAGACAAGTCTGGCCATTGTAGCTCCCTGGAGTACCGAGTTCGCCCTGGTCACAGCCTGCACCAGGTCCTCACCACTATAGGTAGTCGCCGCCCTTGTGGGTTAAAGGAAGAATAGCCACCACGCGACTAGTTTGATACAAGGGCAGTGGTGGATCCCGGTATTGATTTAATCTTAGCTAGGCTTCCTGATGAAAACGCCGGTCTCGTCCCCAGCCAGGGCGACCCTGCGGCGGAGATGAACCACTCCGCTGTACATCGTAGTCCGACATACAGGAACACCTACCAGCGACGATGAGGTGGGAAACCGTTGGGAGCTCTTTTTACTACCTTCGTAGAAATAGAAACCTGACAGGGCAGCACCATCTTGCCCAGACTGTCCGCTATCCCATTGCGTTCGATACTGAAGTCTCTCGATTGAAATGGAAATGTTATACGCATTGACAGGAAATTTCTATGAACTTCGTTCTACTACTACCATTGTCAGCTTCTTCAGAACAACGTGTGAAGAATCCTGCAAAAAGTCCTTTATAAAGGCAGATAATAGGGTCAAAGTAGATAAAAATAAATCAGATGCGATCCAATCAATGGAGGACCGTTATCATCTTTAAAAAAGGATAAAGCACTAGGCACTGAACAATCCTTAAGGGATGTACCATGCATTCAACTTCACTAAGCATCGGCTGGAGGTGATTGAATGCATATCTGGTCTTTACGCGGTGGCCTACCGATGTATCGAGCCAGTGTTGCTATCCTTCGAGACAAGTCTGGTATCAATTTGGTGATCCCGGAGGGAAAGAAGGCTTGGTGGGCCATAGTCGCGAAGATTGATTCCATGTGTGTGTTTGGAGGGCGCCTCCAACCTGATATTGTGACAAGGAAATAAATTTAAATGTGTGGTTCATCGCAATGAACCAATGAAATGAAAAGGGAGAACAACGCGAATGTGGAGTAGCATCGTAACATGTCTCAAACCAACTAGTGAAACAAACTACCCTGTCCGAGACTTTTCGAGAATTTGTTTTTTTCTTTTTGCTGTTTTCGTCATCATGGCGACCGTTTCTACAGTATTTGGTACACGTTGCGACTTCTTCGATCTTACAGACCTCACAATGATTTATGCACCTTGTTGCGAGAGAAAGACGCCATGCTTTTAAACAGCATTATTATCATTTCGCATGTAGCACAGTAGTTAGAGGTGCTCAGAAATACAGAGGATGTCGATGGTTCGATTCCACGCATTGGGTAAACCAAGCTGTACCCTCTCGAGGTACGTAGCTTGTCTGCGGAGATTAAAACACTGGCTTAGTGACATCGACAGATAGCGCATGTCATTGTATAAGCCAAATATGCATTCAATCACCTCTACAATGCTACAAAGGAAGCCAAATGCATAGTACACCTCTCATGAATCGATCAATACCAAAGGCTGTATACTTTTCATCCCTATCACTGTTCCTCAACGTACGCTAAACAAACCAGAAAAATGAAATTGTCAAAAAGAATTGAATAGAAGCAGCAAATTCTCTAATAATGAACGCGAAGTAAAAAAAATAATTACGGTGACTCACAGGACAGCTTCCTGCAGCACTGGAATACGAATAGGAGCTTTTTCACCGGAATTCTTTTCATGCAAAGACGATTGTTTGAGTTTTTACACAGAATTATCTGAATCTGAATGACTACCAGATCCTTTGTACACATCAACACTTATCGAAGAGAAAGTGAAATAGCGGTAGTGGAAGGTCGCCGAGACTCGTTCATCACGTTGACGATGACGATGGCAGCCGCTAGAAACTACTACCACGTCGAAGCAGATATTACAAACGGGACTGGATCTCGTTCGTTCTCCTACGGCTGCATCACGGCTGCATCGAAAACAGTGTCCCCATAGAATTTCACTCGGCAAATTAGTCCGTCCGAGTAAATTTGCTGGTAATGTCTGATTTTTCCCAAATAGTCATCATGGTGGATGTGAGGAACACTCTACAATGACAACCCACCGAGCCAGAATCGCTAAACAAATTTTGCGGTTATTAGATGATCTCGAGGTCTTCATGCCCTCAGAAAGACTAGTAAGATACTTTCTTCGACTAGCAAGCTAACATGGGACGAATAGCACACTGGTAGTGATGCCGATCATCCTGAACACGATGCTCGTTCGAGCTCGCGGCAGGCTCACCAAGCCTGTCACTCTGGGGTCAGGAAATTGGTACCGGACCTGTCCGGGAAAAAATTGATCTCTGCAGTTCAGTTGGGAACGCTCCAGCCTCGCTATCTCATCACTCCAAGGAGAAACGACTCGACCAACATTCTACGATATTCAAAATGAGATGAAAATTCCTTGAGCAGCATCTGAAGCCACACGTAGAAGTTGGAAGACCTTCGTGTATTATGCATGAGACGTGAAGATGGGTGGTGTAAAACAAAACAAGAAATAAAAGTTAACCTAACACTAGGTTAACAAAAGAACGTTTTGATGTTTACGTCCTCTTCGGAGCCGGGCTCATCCGATTCGATGGTCCACAGGTGGTCATCCTCGCGATGTCATTGTTCGTCGCCGCATTGAGTTGAGCCCAGTAAAGTATAAAAGAGGCCCAACCGAATGAAGAATTCCATACGACGGTGCATTCTCATCAGTCCGACTCTGAAGCAGAGGAAGACATCGGAACGTAAGCCGACTAAAAGAAATCTCTTTATTAACCTCGTGTTAGCTTAATAACCAAGAAAAATATTATTTTGGCCGAAGTTTAGTAAAAGTCGGTCTCAAGATAGTAGTGAGATAGTTTTTAGAAGTTTCTAGCTTACGAAAACATATCAAAAGGCTTACATTGAGTGAAGAAACAGTACACGCATAATATGATGAACGAATATAAGAACATTATACAACAAATGTAATGCACGTATGGAAGCAAGTCATGGGAACGAGATATTGGCCTATTGTGCAAGAGCCTGCTCTCAGATTCTCTAGTTCTTAAACCTCTTTGTTAAGGTCTTTTTCGACACACCATATGAATTCAATTTTAAAAACATCGTAGTAAAGATAATTACCGCTGTCAAAGTGCTTTAATGGTAGAGTTAACTTCTACATAAAACTCACCCTCAACTTTTTTTCTATCGTTGATTGGTAGCCTAGGCGCGTATAACGTTGTGTTAGAAGTGTCCTGTATAGCATACGCGGTCTTTGGTTCGATTTCGCGTTCCAGGTGAACTAATCTCTCCGTCCATCTGGGGTCCTTAATTTGATACCTTAAATTTTTGCGAGTATAAAACAATGTCTTGATATGTCAGTGGATTGTCATAACTCATTGGATAGGATAAATATAAATTCCTAGCGGCTATATGGGCTTACGAACGGGGTCGACTGCAAAGCGCTTCTTTGAGGGATTTACCAACTCCGGGTCTTTATTCTTTAACCTTTAGATTGATCACTGCAGATTTACTAACAAATATATGCTGATTCGATTAAAAATGTATTTTAGACGGCTGTTCAGAAATTGAAGGACAGACTTTGAATCAACGAGTGAATTAACACAAGCATTTCATCGAAATTGGCATGTGGCCTCATTTCTTCTCATGTATATTGTTATTTGTGTTATAACTCATACTACTATTTTAGTACTCTTATTTATTACTCGTACTATTATTGGTACCGGACTTGCTAGAAAAAAAATCACTCTCTGTGGAACGGAATCCAATTGGGAACGCTGCAGCCCGACTATCTCAGCACTCCAAGGAGAACTGCTCGTCCAGCATTCTACGGCATTCAAGATGAGATGAAAATCCTCAACCAGCAACCAAATCCACACGTAAAAGTTGGAAGATCTTCGTGGACAATAGATGTGACGAAACCAATCGAATGTGAGAAGTGCTGGAATCCGCACAGTGGACATGATCGTGTCAAATAAAAAAAAACTATTATTGTCACTGTTGTGACTGCCATAGTTCCAGTGATATATCTATCAAGAACTGTGCAGAAGTCCTAGAGTAATGATAGCGTTGAAAGGTACTTGTAACGTGTTTGTGCATAGATAGATTCTCAAGATTTGAATAATTCAAACTCAAACAAAAACATAGTATAGCAGAAATTTTCCGCTCGAAACATCAGAAGGCCACTACTGAAATCTTCGATGTCTCTTGTCAAAATGTCGAAGAAATGTCCTTTGAAAATGCTGGTACTGAACTCATTTGAGTTCTGAACAAACCAAAAGCTTCTTGGTGAAGGTCGAAGAGTTTGACGAATCGGTTTCTCTGTAAAATGAAATCTCGCCGTCATGTCATCCGTTACAACTATAGCGCATTTTCGATTCGAAAACCTTCCAATTTGCAGCAAATGGATAACGTTACGATCGTCGTCCTTGAAGCGAAGAAATATCAAACAAATTAATCTATCAATCTTTACTTTCGTTGTAACGAGATTTCACTGACCTCGGTCGTTCCATTGGCGTCAAAATCGTCATCAAGTGTGCATGTGCGTGCGTGTGTGTGTGTGTGTGTGTGTGTGTGTGTGTGTGTGTGTTCTTCGTGTTTGTGTTGTGTATGTGTCCGCGTCTGTGTGTCGTCGTCTTTTCAATACCTTCAACTGATCATTTTTTTTACGTAGAAACGCGTTCACATAAGCTAAGGCGAGCCTTATTAAAGCTCAGTTGAAGATGAGCGTTTAAAATATGATGACGGGAAGAACGGAAACGAAATATTTCAATGAGATGTTGGCTTTAGAAACCAAACTGGTCATGTGTATGTCGTAAGAGGTGAAAAGCTGGATGACTTTCAGTCATGCTCCTCACTTAAAAAAACTTGACTGCCGCAAACTTGTGCCTTAAAAGAACTTTTATACCTAATAGATTGGTTCTGATTTGATTAGGAAATCTTGTGATACGATTCTCTTTAGCGTGTTTTTTTATGTTCATTCTTTAGTATTTTCCTCTTTGTAAATTCTTCTCAGAGGGAGTAAGAAAATAGGGCACTTCATAAAAAATGTGATAAGATCGTTCCTTATCACATAAAAACAAAATCTGACATAACTGCATCTACATCGTCGTACTTTAAGAAATCCATGAATTTCACATTCTGTCTGAAGCTGGAAGAACTCCAAGCCGTAGCTACAGCCTAAAACTGGTCGGATGATGATATTTCATCTGAGGCAATCTATTATACTTCAAGAAATGAGTGCGACTTCGTTATGAGAACGAGTGTTGAACAAGTTTGTTGACGGTTTGGCCAAATCAATTCGAATGCCGAAAAGCGTGATTTCTTAATGACAGAAGGTCAAAAGCATTTCAAGCGCTTGTTTCTCGTCGTAATCAGTTCCAGTTCATTTACCAGTGTAACACCTTCATCAACGACCATGCCAAATTGCAATGTTTAGTTTTTCTAATCATCAGCCATCATCGGCTGACATGATGCCGCATCGACAATGACGAAGACGAAGAATACGGCGATAGCGATGACGACGGCAGATCGGGGTTTCTATATACTAGATAATTTCCAGAGATAATCCAACTAACGATATCAAAATTCTGAAATTTTGTATAAAGGAAACAGCATATAAGAAACCATCTCCACTCTCACGAAGAGAGTCGAGTAGAACTTGAGCGCTCTGACCGATGAAGCATGAAAAAGATGTTTTCTTGGAAGACCCTAAACAGGGTAATTTAGGCAAAGATGTTTTTCCCTGCCGTTAAAAACCGTGCAGAATAGCTGAACATCGTGAGGGTGTGTTGAAACGTGAAGCACAATAATCAGATGAGTAGTGCCAGTATCCAACGTAAATAGCTGGGGATCGAAAATCGAAAAATCGGATTAGCGGATCGTTAAGAGACGACAAGGCAAGAATTACGAGGGATGAATAACCATCTGCCAAAACTGGTCAAAAATGTTGGAGATATGTAGATATGCCGCTGAGCTTTATAAAAAATTAAAACACTTTAATTAAATGAAGCCTGCCTGTCGCAGTAAAAACTGACGTAGATGTTACCGTGAAAGGATTAAGGATAATGCATTCGGCGTTGGTAGGTCCCTTAAATAGGACACATGCATTCAATTCGATGCATAGCATCAAAGATATAACTGAATGATTACCTTGGCTATAGAGCGACTTGCAATATTCTACCAGTGTATCAATTCGCTGTTCTGTTATTCCTCATCTTTCTTCCTCAGATTGGTCTGCTAGCAACACTTCGAAACCTCAGTGATGAGGAACCTGACTGGTCTGTAGATGCCATATATAACCCACGACCACGTTTATATTGTATGGCACCTCTAACCACTGCACCACACGTTCCCATGTGGAATTCTAATTGGGAGGAATTGCTTTCTAGCAACTAAACAGTTGCAATCAAATGAACTAAACTCGTTTGATTTGACGAGTAACCGGACTTCCTATGATCACACTGACCAGATAAAGTGGTTAGACAATACAGGTAGTAAGCCAGTAATAAATAGCCTTAGTAGAACAATAGTCACACCTTCCTATACAAAGCAGTTGTTACATATAGAAGAAGTATAGAAGAAATAACAAAAACCAATTTGTTTAACACTTAAACATTAGGTACACCACTTATATACGAAAATTACCTAAGCGAAGGTGTGACTTCAAATGACAAGTACAAATTTGTTAGAAACTAAACTGAATTTGACCAAAAAAAAAAGCAAGCGCGACCTCTAGAAGAAAAGTTTATAGAAGGTTAGTACTGAAAAGAAATATGACTTTAACTAAAAATGGAAACTTGTTTGTCCTTGTGTCTTTTTATCGCACTAAGAAGTCGATCGGTAATTAGGCCTAAGAAGCACAAAAGGCTTACGATTAATTCAAATGAAATAATCTTAACCCTTTTATTTACTGCCTTTTTCTTCTTAATGGCAGGGTATGTCGCGAAATATAACTCGTATGAAATGCTTCACCACTGCTTCACCACTCCTGGCCCCGGATGGTGTAGTGGTGAAGTGCGCTGCTCCCCGGTAAGGACAACACTGCGTGTTCGTTCCCCACTGCATACACCTGTGGTCCGGAGTTTTGCAAATATGTCAGCATTCCATTCAAATGAAATACTTTGTTGCTGTAAAGCTTTTTAAAATAAGTATTGATTGTAGACATGCTAATGAGCCTTATAATTTTCATTTTTCTTATTTCGTAAAGGACATCTCAGGTGCCCTTCACCTATGAAGTGAGCAAACCGCAGAATCGCAGGTATTTATTCACGCAAAGCACTTAAAACTGAAAGATCTTTTGCTGCTTTATTCGAATCTCAGCAACGAGGTAAGCTATTAGAGCACGAGAGGGTAACTGGAATGTGCGCCGGGCTATTTAAAAGTACGATAAGATGGTTAATTCTGTAATCGACTGATGTGTAATTTGAATGGCCTGGTTAAAGTAAGTTCATCGAGTTGAGAAGATTCTAGCTCTTTTAACAAAACTCTCCTATCAAAGTTTGACTATTCTGTTGACATACGGAACATATCCAAAAACAGCTGAACGAATGAGCCCAAGCTTAACTGTCAAACTCTAAAGGAAAAATGCTGACGAAAGAAGATGTAGCAACTCCAAAGCTCAGTTTATGAATTTCCAGGGATTCTAAGCCTTATCTAACTCTTTCTTACGTGGGTTTATTTTTTATGACGAGCAGTCATTTTACATATTCTGTTTACAGTATAGTTGTCTGGTTTTTGTGAAGACTATTTTGAAAACTAGCTTCCGAAAGCCTTTTCACTATAGTAACGAGCGTCCAGATCTGCACCGAGGCAAGAAGTGATTTCTCTCCTCACCTCGAGAATCGAACTGGTCGCAGACAAAAATCCAGTTATCCAAAATAAACTCGTTTCAATAACAATTTTTTTCCTTCCTTTCCAAAATTTCTAGGTGGTTACCCAAGAAGTTGCTTATATTTATCTTTTTCTACGGAGACTGACACTTAACATGATGTTTTTCATACTTTTAAATGTGCTGTTAGGCTAGTAATGGCCAGTAAGATGCCTATATTAACCGCCTTACTGACAGTTTTCTTCCGTAGAGTCCTTATCATTTAAGTTATGGAGAAACTAACGCCATTGCAGGGAAGTCTTTTTTTTATATGAAGACTAACACTTTGAGGAGCATGAAAGCTTTCTGAGAGCAAATATGTTTTTATTCCTAGATTTTTTTACGAAACAAAACGCATTTGAAGCATTTCCCGTACACCTTTGCCTCAATACAAACTGACCTAGGAGATGACTGTAGTCATTTCAGTTTTCTCCGTTCAGTCTTTCTTTCGATGAATTTCTTACAAATGATCGGTAAAGTCTAGAAAAAATGGCGATCGTATTATGTTTAAGACGTTGTAACCTTGGATGTAAAACCTTACCACTGCGGTCACTAGCGCGCCGTTTGCCATTTTCGTCTTTTTCCCCTCTTGGTTCAAATTGAGCCCATTGAAGTATGATTGATTCGCAAATAATTTCTTGAAATCAAACATCAGAAAGAGAAACAAGAAAGAACGAAAACACTGAAAACCTGAATTGATTGACTGGGTAAGCATTGCAAAAGTTTCAGAAGACAGATTTTTGAGGCTACGATGGTGCTAGCATAAAATGTACTAATTGTAAAACAAAGTTATCTAATTCAGTAAACGAAGTGGTTTTTCTAAAGTTGCCCATAAAACATAAAAGGATAAAACCCCTGACGTTGATCAATCTCTGAGGGTTGCGCCTGCATTCGACTTCATTAAGCATCGTCTGAGTACATGCAAATCCGGCCTTTACAATGACTCGCGGTGGCCTACAGATGTATTGAACCAGTGTTGCCATCATGCCGAACAAGTCTGTACCAATTCGCCGATCGCGGAGGAATGGAAGGCTTGTTGGGCCATGCGCGTGGGGATCAATTCCACGTGTATGTTGCAGGGCGCCTCCGACCATTGCGCCACACGAGCCCGAGTTGTCCATGGAGCACCTAATTGGTAATGTTGAGCAATTTTCGACCTTCTTTTCAGCTTCTGTAGAATATTGCTTTAAGAACAAATGTTCAACTAGTGACCGATTAAATTGGTACTCTGGATTTCTGCATGAAATGATGCGAAATCATTGATTGTACAGTTTTCCTAAAAAAGTGTACATTAGATGGTTTCTTGGCCTTTTACGTTGAGTTCCATTAGTCCCCATGTTGATTTTCACTAAATTTAAGTTATTAGATGGTTTCTCGGTCAGCCAGTGCTAGTGTCAATCATTGCCAACCTTTCACTGCATAATGTATTTCACCAATATTCATTGGTTCATGTAGTGCAGTGGTTAGAGTAAGTGCCATGCAAGACACACATGGTTCTTCGTACGGCCCCTCTCTCTGCGCTTATCCTCACCGACCTGGGATTGGAAAATCAGTACTAAACTGGTCTAGCATGATAAGGACATTAATATAAAACCGATAGAACATCTCAAGTTATTGCATTGGCCAAAAATGCATTCAATGATTTTTGCAGTGCTGCAGATAGAAAAAAATAAACGGTGTATCCCAAAATGATTGGTTGATGTCGAGGGCTCTATTTATCATCATCGTCTTAACTTCGATTATTTGTAGGAAACTACTCTCTAGCAAGTCTTCCTGCACTGCTACTGCTATTACTGCTATTACTACCACTTCTCTTTGATTTATGCAGAGCTTCAGCTGCGCATATGACTGTGATTGCTGTGGCCGCTTCAGTAGCACTCACAGTATTTCTGACACCGCCCACATGGACCGGTGTGGGCGGGGTCGATCTTCGGGTGCCGCGCATCGGAGAGTGCTAGCGCTCTGAAACGCACCCGCTCACAAGCTAACCCCCGGGCGGCGGCAGTCAGGCGGCCACGCCAACACAGAGGTGCCATCGAACGAATAATCCCCTGAGAATATTTTACTACTGAAATCATCACCTGACCTTTGTTAGTGTATTAGATTTTTCCTCTCTATTTCTTTGTCCCTCTGTCTCTCTCATCTCCTATCTGCAGCATTTGAAGAGACAATGCTGCGAATTCTACTGGTAACTGGTCTAAGCTACTTTGTTGAACCGAGCATGTTCAACAATAGCGAACTTCTTCATATTCCTGGCATGGATATGATGACGTCCGACAAACATCCTCATTACACTATAGTGGAAACTGTAAGCCGAACTAAATGGCACCGTCATCGACGAGAAGTGATCGCTGGGCCGATCTATGACTGGAATTCCTACGAGATTCCCTATCAAATATGGGGTGGCGATTGTAAGTTCAACAAGTAACTATATTTCTTTTCATTCAAATTAGTAGTTATTCGGTTACTTTTATTCCTATTTTATATTTTAAAGCGATCTACGGTGTAGATGTAAACAAAGTAAAGTGCAAATTCGTGGATAAACTTAAGAGTTCGCTAAAAGATACGCCTTCATTGCAAAATCCATATGCGATAGTTTCTAACACGATGTCTCCGTCTGCTCACGGAATGAATGGAACAAAAGACTCTCCTTTCTACTCTGTTTAATAATTTTATTGAGTTTAAAAACACTCGAAAATCCAGTAATGGTGACAGGAAATAAAAACACTGGAAGATCAATGAGAGAGACTAGTCTGACTTCTTCTTCTGTCATTTTCTTACTCCTTTTATATTCGAAGCCTGAGCAACAATTTCTTCTCTTCTAATTTCATCTCCGCTCGGATCTTTCTTTCTTTGCTGCACCTTCTTAAGAAATTTACGATATATTTCTACATGAAAAAATCAGCTTCAAGATTTAAAGAACTTTTAAGGCTCTGAACAAACCAAAAACTGTTTTCTAGCGTGAGTTCACAATGTTTTCGTTGTTTTCAATCGAAAATTAATCTCTTAAGAAGTTTCTTCTAAGACTGGTTCGCCGTTTTTAAATGATCTCACATTGGCAAAAGGTTGTCCTCGACGGGTGATCAGTGAATCTGAAACACTCGGAAGCCGCCGTTCAATTAAAAATCACAAAGAACCAGAGCAAGAACTTGGCGAACGAACGACGAGTACCAGCTTACGGATTAGCCGCCGTCACTTCGTCGGTAGTGGGGCTGTTCATGTTGATGGTCTTTTAAGACTTTAAGAATTCGTAAACGTTGATGAAAGAGTAGACGGAAATCTTTGTAGTGCTTCGTATCGTTGTGTACGAGTTTTATTCACTATGTGGTAGTCGCCAGGCACATAAAAACTAGTCTAACGAGTTCACAGCACTTTACATTAGTGAAAATGGTTCTGCTTTTGTAGATGAGCTCGTTGACAGAACACTAGTTGAGAGGCAACTACTGGCAACACATTCTCAACGATCTCCTCCGCTATTAGTTATGTAAGAGTTTTCACATCGTCGTTTCTCCTGATTGTAACGCATATTCAAATCTATATGATTGTTCTAAAAGTGGTTTAGCTAATTCTTTCATGTTGAATGGTTTCCTTAGTTGCTAACGAAAACACTGTTATTGATGTGTTACTGGGTTAAATCAAGTGACGACCAAAGAAATCTTCATGTATTCTTTTCATACCGTTCCTAGTCGTTATTCCTATTCCACCAATACTTAATCCGTCTTAAAGATGATCGTTTTCATAGTAAATAAAATATATCTATCAGTAAAAGTAGGATGACGGACAAAACGATAAAACAAGAAGAAGAGTAGTCGAACTGTAGAAAAACGCAGTAGAATATGACTATTTAGCTAATTATCTTTTCTTGTCATATCTCAGCTTTTCTCTGCCGTTATCACTTTTTTAAGGAGTTTTTTAATCCAAAAGCTAATCGATAACCTGCCTCCCTCATGGCAAAGTTCAAGTTGGTGAAAGTTGCGTGCTAACATAACCGCCAACAATTCCCTGAGGTTATATCTGGTTGCCTGGGACGATTTCTCTTTTTATGTGACAGATTGATTGTTGATGGCCACTCTGAAAAACGTCTACGATAACATTGCTTGTCAGTTTTCTGCTTCGACAAGTTTTTTCCACCATATCTGACACAACAATGCTAGTTGTTTCGAAATTGCGTAACGAACTAGATATAAAGACGTATCGTGTTTACAATTGCGGAATGAAATGAAGGTGTGGGAAGGCCTAGAACGCAAACAATTCATTGCTAACCTATTCAGTATCCGCGGATCGGTCTAATCTCCTGGATGAAGCCAATGTTGGCGATGGTGATGATGGTGCAAGTGTTGGTGGAGGTGGTAGTGGTGTAGTTGGTGAATCGCTTGCAATAACCGGTTGAACTCTCCAGACAGGCGACGACACACGACCATACCAACACAGACATATAGGCAGACACATCGAACGCTCGATATCCAAACCATGACTGGTAATAAAGGGTCCTCGCACACAGCTTTTAGCCATTATCCTTGTGCAGTTAAGGAAGAAATCCCTATATGAGTCGTAAACATAACCACACTAGACTTTTTTTTTCGAGAATTGCTGATTTTTAGCTACAATAAAGCTTCGATTTTTATCGAATACTGGCCCATTGATCATCGCGTTGCTCTACCAGGCACCAGTAAAGTCTGTATTCGGCTAAATCGGTTATGAAGGCAAGTAGGTTCTGCGCATTCTACTCATTTGTGGAACGCGAAGAAGATCCACAGTTTTGGTTCGATACACTTTATTTCCTATCCTTTTTTGTGAAAAGCTCACAGACAACTCAAAGGTCTCTGGTATACTCGGAAATGGAGAGGTGGGCATACTCGATGAGAAGTTTTGCCGATTCCGAACCGCCACCACCCACGCACCTTCCTGTTAGCTGATTGATGCCCAGATTCTTGTATCCCGAAAGGATACAAGTATTCTTTGATTACTATACCTACAGAATGGCTAAAATAAAAAATGACGAAACTTTTGGTGTTGATCAATCCCTGAAAGATACGCCAAGTACTCGACTTAAATAAGTATTGTTGGAGGTGATTAAATGCATATCTAGCCTATGCAGGGACTCGCGGTGGCCTAGCAAAATATAGAGTCAGTACCGTCATCCTCCCAATCAGGTCTGGCACCAATCTCTCGAACCCGGAGGAATAGAGGGCTTAGTGAGCTTGGAGCGCAGGATTGAGCCCTTGTGTATTGCTTGGCAGTTCTAACCATTGAGCTACACATGTCTTTTATGGAATGGGTAGATAAGTCAATCTGATGTGAGAAGAGCAAGAGGATCACCTTCTGAGCCTCAGTGGTCGTTTCTGGTCTGTGAGGCTTAGCAGCTTGCTCCTATCCGCCCACACCACCTGCGGAGGCGACCTGAAGACTGCTCCCTTTTCGCTGGACTCGAGATCCCTCAGAACAGAGGAGTATCGACGGAATCGAACCTTCAACGTGGCAATGACAACAAGATAACATCCTAGGAAAAGAATGACGCTATTTTAACCCACCTATTAGCTAGAGAGTTACAAATATGAGTGCGACAAAAAGTTTTCTCCACGTTAAACAAATGACACTTATGTCCCTTGAGAGGAATAAAACGAATACTCTGTACCAGGGCATACAGCGTAGTTCTCAAATTGTTTCGAAAAGCGCTGAAATGGGAAGCCTAGGATTTCCCTTTTTTCTCTATTTCTCCAACACTCTAAAGACCTTTATATTAGCAAACACGAGGTGTTATATTCTTTCTTTATTACGCACAAACTGACGTCTCGGCGGATTTTGTCTTAATAGACAGTCGGCCATGGCAATCACTCTAAAGGTCCTCCTAAGATTTTGGATCTTATTTTGTCATATTAAAAAGCTTTAATTAGCCTTGTAAGTTGCAAAGATGTATATGCGTAAAATTTCAATAAATTCTCCAAGTTTTTCTTCGTGAACGGCTTCCAGTAAAACCTGTTTGCTAAGCGGTTCTTTAGCGTTTATCCAAATGAATTTTATGTTGATTTTACATTTAAGTATTCTTTAAATGCGCTTGATTTTCGATTCCTCTTGACTATCATTTCTAAGCCGAGCAACTAAAAATGTCGAGCTGAGCAAAAAAACACGTTCCATACAGAATTCATATAATTTGTGCATTGATATCAGTGCGTGCAGTGAACAGTGACGAACCAATCAAAACGTTTCATACAGTGAAACCGTTCCATTTTGACATTTGATGAGTTGAATTCAAGTCATGCCGATGTTTTTTTAGCCGTTTCAGTTTTCTAATTAGAGGCGAATGTTTTCATCTCTTCGTCAGTGTCGAATTTCATTCATCCTCATTGTAAAAAAACGCCGACAATGAGGTTTGCAGGATGTTTCTTTTGTCGAAACGCTTCACAACATGGTTTTCTCCAGAACTAAGCCATAACACCCCGCTTAGTCACTATAGTGTCCATAGCGGTTTGTACCAAACGACCGTATGGGCACATTTGTGTCCATATTTAGTTCAGCGGGTTTTATAACTTTCTTACCGCACTATGTGTATTTATTCGATAGCTAATCGAAAGCGGATCAAAGAAGGAGTGGTGAGACCAGAAAAGCCACCCTAGCAGTTTAACAGTTTACAAAAAACCTTCTTCTAAAATGTTCCTCTATCGGTCATTTTCGTCACTGTGGTCATTACATGAAACCTGTAAATATAAACGAACTCTGAAATAGACTTAACGTAAACTACAAAACACTTCCATGTTCCGACCACAGTGTCCCTGGATCATGGGCCATCGTAACACAGTAAATGGTGATGTACGTATCACTCAGAACCATAGAATAGAGAAAAAAGTTTTTTCTAAAATTCTCTCATTTTCAGAACTCCCAAAGCACTTCAATTATTGAAAAGTGGTCTTTTATTGCCAAAAAGCGAGAAAGTTTGCAGCAGACGAAAAATTGCTCGTATTCGATTGGGCCAACCATACAAAAAGGCGCTGGAGCGTTATGGGTTAACCCTTGCTATTTCCTCTAGGAAACCTGTTTTGTCCTTCAAAAACAGTTCGGCTAGTTTGGCAGAACTCAGAACTGATGATTTGGGCATGTTTTTGCTATGAGACATGACTGCCACCGTAGTCATCATGTATGCTACAATCAATAAGATCCACCGATCGATCAGTAGTAAGGCTTCTTTTAGTCGTCGTCAGGTGACTTTTGTAAAGCTGACGCAATCCAGTTTTAGAATTTTCATTGGCAAGCCGTCTTAAGCTGTCGTAAACTGTCGCTCCCTTCATGAAACATTCCGAAAAAGTAGACTGCGCCAGCAGCTAAATAAGGTTATCCGGGTTTTTTTAAAGGTTTCACTTCATGAAACACCAACACACTCAGTTTCCGCTTTTCGGCCGTTTTCTACAGATTATGAAGAACCTCTTTTTGAAGAATCTCTATGGCCTCCCATCGCACAACACCATCAGTTTGTAAGATCATATAAACAAATAAATCAACTATTTATGCCAAGGTTTATAGAAAGTTCCCTTTTGAAGTAAAATCGCTTTTACCGAGTTTTTAAACAAAAAATTTTGTATTCTTTGTTTGTAATTTAATAATTAATTAATAATAATTTAATAATTAATTTAATAATTAATTTAATAATGTAATTTTGTATTCTTTGTTTTTATTCTTTCTTTTGTAACAATTCTTCCAAAATTTTGTTTTGGAGACTACCTTAACAACTGTGAGAAGTTTACAAGCTTCTAAAGTTAAAACATTTACTAAAAAGCGCCAAGGAAACGTACATTTTGAGTTCTCAATTGTAAAAAAGTTGTAGGTAGCTCAGAGTTCACCGTGTGTAGTTATTAAGTTGACAAGTGCAAAAAAGCTTAGCTAAGCACTTGCTGAGAAAAACCGCTTCTCATCAATTTGTCGTCGTTTTCCGTCATCGATCAATAATGCGTAAAAGCAACATTCAGAAGCTGAACGATGTTGATATGAAGACGGCGACGACGAACGACTTGTCCTTATGATTAAGCCTGCATCGATCAGTTCACTTGTTATAGAATTTCCCAGCACACCGGCATAGAATTTCAAAAAGGGAACTAACTCGATTTTTAGAAAAATTTAGTTTTTCGGTGGCTAAAAACCCCCTGAAGGTAAATCAAACTCTGCGAATCGAACTAACCGATAGAACCGTGCGTGACGAGAACATCGCGAAAAATCCATTTGTGGGAAGGTGTCTTATGGCTATGAACATAATCAAGACGGACTGATTTGCTCAGCACTTGAGTGGATCCAATCGATACCTTCCAGGATCGGATATGATTGCTTTCCCGTGGTGCATTAGATTTTTCTTAATCGTTTAACACAGAAATCCAGAATTGTGGTTACCATCAAACTCCATGTAGTACCGTATCATTTGCTGACTATTTGGAGACTAATTACTGTTGATGATTGTTGAATAGACATATCAAACCAGAACCAATCGTCATTTTCGCATTCCATGCTACCCTATAAAAGAAGTCATCATTCCATTAAGTTCGTTATTACTCTTTTCAACTCACCATGTAAAAACTAAGAATTCTGCGGACTTACACCAATTTAAAGAAGTAAATAAATAGATGTCTTGCAAATATGTATGTTAGAAAAATTGCCCTATATCATTAGAACGTCTTAACAAAGTTGCTAATTTTGAAACCGACCATCATTTCACCTCCGAAGTAAAACAACCAACTTGTTTAAATTGTTGAGCTTACAGTGGACTGCCTACTCGGATCATCAGCTCCGATAAAGACGAAGACGTTGAAGCCTGAGCTGAATAAATCTTGTTGTCAACCTCTCGTAAGCTTAACCATTTAAACAAAGTTGCTAATGCTTGTGATTGTTGATCTCTCGTTGCTAGTTAGGTGAATTAAAATAATTCTTACTTTACTAAACCTATATGCGACTCCTCATTTCGAGCATAACCTTAAAAGACTTTCGCAAATATTTGCCAAAGAAAACCAGAAATTTGTTACTGTTCTCCCAAATTAACAAGATAGTGGTTAGGCAAGTTGAAATCTCTATACCATCACTTCGTACTGAAAAACTACGTCAGAGGAGCACTCTGTTCACCAAGCAAGTTATTTATTTAACTAAGGACAAGAAACTCTTCAATTACAATTTTAGCAAATTCGTCACTGTTATGAAAACATAATCAAAAGACTCAGTAAAATATGATGTTGTATAATAAGTACTTTTTCTACAGTTACGATAAAAATCACCAGAAACCAGTCTAAATTACTGAATGCTATTGAATCTAGTTATTAGTCGAAAACAACTAAATGTTATCCAATAACACTAGTAAGAGTCCATTCTCAAGCTTAACTGGCCCCGGAAAGGTATCACATCAGGTCGCGTAACATAAAC